AAGGTTTACTTTGGCAGTCCATTATTATAATTATTATTATCATCATCCTCATTATTATTGTCATTATTATTATATTGCTATTATTATACAGATTGCAGAACAATGAAAAAAGTTTACGGAAAAGGTTTACTTTGGCAGTCCATTTTTAATATCATTATTATTATTATTATTATTATTGTCATTATTATTATTATCATTCTCATCCTCATCATCATCATTATTATTGTCATTATTATTACTACTATTGTTATACAGATCACTAAACAATGACCAAAGTTTACGGAAAAGGTTTACTTTGGCAGTCCAGCGAGAGCAGCAAAGATGTTCATCTCCATCAGCTGATTGTCGTCAAGGAGGAGGACCTCCAGCTTGCTGTACCTCGGGAAGCGGATGTTTCTGACAATGAAACAACACGGTTGTAAGTAACAGGAGCTTACAAACACAATGCAGTGAGATTTTTGCTTGGTTTGACGCCTTTCTGAAGCAGAATGAAAGAAGATTCAGAAAGATATCCTACAGCACTATTAATCTTGTGGTTGCATTGCCAAATTTTCTGACATAAGGTTGCAGGCTCCAATCCTTTCCTCCTAGCCCTTAACAGAAAATGACAATAAGATTAAGTCATTCTGTTGTCATAGCTTCAAAATTAGATTTTTGAGATGAAGAATATAACAATGAACAAGGAAAAATTATAGGGAATCTTACTCTCTACAACAAAAGGGCACAAGCTGGGTAATCAGAAATTGGTGTCAATCAGTAAAGGGTTTTATAATCTAAAATAAAATTATTTGCGTTCTGTATTCTTATAATGATATATCATACTAACAGTTGCCAGATATTAGATGAAAAAAAAAAAAAAATAACCAAAGCTCTTTCATGATGATACAAATACAGCAAATTTCTATACAGATGACGATAACGATTATCACTGACATGATCTGCTGATTTAATTTCACGCTCACTGGAACCATCACTGTCATAGAATCTCTCACCTTTAAAATCTTTTTTCCATTACTACGGTATCACATTTTTCGAATCATTTAACCGGTGGAACAACAAATTCAATATTTACATGGTAAGAAAAAGTTTGCTTCTCACTGACTACACTGAATCCCTTACCATTTTGCTCAATTTTGTCAAATTCAACTTAATATGAAGAGATGTGGCACAATGCAGACAGCCTTACATCTTCAATTGCTTTATACATTTACGTAGCCATAAACAAACTCAAATACTTTAGGGTATCTTGAACAAAATGAGAAATAAAAATAAAGTTTAAATTAATTTTCTCAACAAGTACAAAGTTTGGATTAATTTTCTCAACAAATACAAAGTTTGAACTAGTCTTCTCAACAAAAACAAAGTTTGAATAAATTCTCTCAACAAATACAAAGTTTGAACTAGTCTTCTCAACAAATACAAAGTTTGAATTAATTTTCTCAACAAATACAAAGTTTGAATTAATTTTCTCAACAAATACAAAGTTTGAAATAGTGCTCTCAACAAGTCCAACTTCTAAACAAGTCCAAAGAGAGCTCACTTTTCCCGAGACAAGTAGGGCATGGCCATGTCCTGTGGCAGGCGAGTGAAGTGGTTCCCCGTGAGGTGCAACACTTTGAGCTGACTCAGCAGCCCCAGACACAGCAGGTCGTCTTGGGACAGATTGTTGTAGGATAAGTCCAGCATCTGGGAAAGACAATCTTTTTATTAAGCTCTCTTTTTCAAGGCAAGTTATCTATAGAAGTATTAAAAATTTTAGAAGATCCTGTTCAGGCCTAGACTTGTTTAGTTTAGTTTTAGTAGAGGTTTTACGGCGCTCCCAACTGCATAAGGTCATATGAGCGCCATAAGATTAGAGGTGTTACAAGAGAGCAACAAACATAAAAAAGAAAAAGGGGAGATAAGGACGATAGATGTTTGATAAGAAAGAAGAAGTAAACCACACCAGAGCACCATCCAACCACCCACCTAAATTTGTACTCACAGCGACCTAAAAATGTTTGATCTAGGAATGTGGTGAAATATTATCTTTTTATTTAACACTTTGCCGCCTCATCTCGCCGATTGGCGTTGTTTACCACCCAGTTTCTTCGGATTTTCCCCAAAATATGATGGCAAAGTGTTAAACAGAAAAATCAAAGGCGACAAAGTATCATCCATTTTAAAAAAAATAGAAACAAAAGGAGTCGAAACTGTCTAAGACAGCCACTCACTGTCGAGGAGGAAGGTTGAGTTCCTGCGTGCTGTCGACATCGCTGACCGTTTATGATGCCACAGCACCAGAAGAAAGAGAGAGAGAGAGAGAGAGAGGAGGAAGGCGACCGTACTAGACAGGTGGCCCTCTTACACAGAGTCATTATATTGGAAAAAAATACTCAAGGGAGGAAATGGGAAGTGGACGTTTTTGGGGTTTTTTTGGTAAGTCTTTTACGGCGCTCGCAACTGCATAAGGTCATATGAGTGCGCAGGACACACCTAATATTTTCAGTTGGTAGGAAATTTTGAATTTTGCCCAGGTGGCAGCCGAACGATACCACCAAGGGATCTTTAATGGGCACAACTAGCACACGGGCCCTCCGAGATTTTTCACCCTTGTCCGAGAAGGCTAGGTGTAGATCTTTCCTACCAGAAGATAAGTGGCCGTCTGTACGGGCGATTGTCTTATACAGGCAGCGGCTAGAGTAGGTTCAACTTTACTTCTTTAATCTTAAAACAGACTGTGTCTGGCTCCGCACAGATTACACAGGGGTTAAGTTAAATATGTCCGACCTCTTAATTCTGTATTCCAATCCAACACAGGATAAAATAGACAAAAGCGCTGACCCTCACCTCCAGGTTATTGAAGTCTGTATAATCAATCTGCAAACTCCTTAGACCATTCAGAGGAATCTCCAATTCTCTCAAGGCAGGAAATCCCCGAAAAGCCTCTGTGAGTAAAAAGAAATGAGATTGTAATCCTATCCGTACGTCGTGTTTTACTATCGTATCCATACGACGTGGGGAACTCTGTGCCACCACTTTCAAAGGGGAATTTTACTCGTTAATCCTATCCGTACGCTTTGCATAGCAGTCTGTCAAAATGATTTTTTGAGCAATACTGAAAGTTTCAAAGAGATCTTCATACTAAAAGTATTATAAAATGTGAAGAATAAAACCCCAGGGGTGCAAAATGACCCCAGGGTGTACGGATAGGGTTAATGAGTATGTAAGCAAAAAAAAAAAAAGAAGGTTACTTCTGTCTTGAGGGAAAAAAAGCTGCAACAACTTTTACTCATGTTAATGCTATGGGCCGTGGCCCTCTCAGCCTACAATGTCTGCACAACTTGAGTCTTTGAGTCAAGAGTTTAATTTTAAAAAGGTGAAGCAAACTGAAAAAAAAACAAAAAAGAATTGAGAAGTAACAAAACCTAACAGAATTCTATACTCTTGTGCAGTATTTGTGTTTTGAGGCAGGAGATGCATAAAAACATTTCCACGGTAGAAGTCAGACTCCTGCATCTGTTATAGTAGAATGTCAGCATCCCATATAAGCCTGGCATATGTAATAGTATTTCCATCCCATTATAAAATATCTCAAAAATGGCTATCTTCACACAAATTATTTGCGATCCATTCCCCCCCCCCTCCTCCCCCCCCCCCCCCCCAAAAAGAGGGGGGGGAGGGTTTAAAAATTGCACTGTGTCTCTGCATCTTTCTTTTAGCATGTACCCACAGTTGACTTTTACAGGCTCTGAGCGCTGCGTAGGTGGAAAGTGTTGAAAGGGAGTGAATTGTTTTCAATCGCTCATAGAGTGAACTCACCAAAAGGAAGGTAGTTTTCACCAGCATTGACATAAGCGACATTTTCAAAAAGGGCAAGGTCATCTTCCTTCACATCGGTCAACTCTTTTCCTGCAATGTTCACAGAACACAAATCTGCAGGGTCCTCCACACAACAGTGTTTCATCTGAAATTGAAAAGGATTAAAAAAATATGTACATGTATACATATCATTTAAACAGCTTTGCTGTAATAGTGTTTTTGAAAGAATATGTGAGGCACCATGGTGAATTTAATCAGGCGCTCACCAATTGCAAATATCTCGACTTCTACTCAAGACAGATGAGTATTTTTTTCACCAAAACCAAGAAAAATAAACAGGCTTACTTTAAAACTTGCAGTCACACAGCCAGCAATACAAAATACCCTATCTGGTAACCCAGCCAGGAGATTGACTGCAAGTTACTTCATGGGCCTGGCGCAGAACTGCACCATGTGACCGGAATGGATAGTTTTCACTGGTGCATTATTGCGCCAAGTGACCCCAAAGAGTTAAGATGATACTAAATAACTCCACATGCTCAAAAATTGACGAGCGCCTGATTTCACCACACTGCCTCACATATGGTTACAAGCAGTCCTGTACTGAGAGGATCATGATGATCCTCAACATCAGATTTAATAAATTACAAAAAAAACAAAAACAAAGCCTGTTTTGACACTGTGCTGGCATTGTCTGATTTGGCATCGGTGACATAGTGGTTAGGCTCACAGACTCTCCACCAAGAGGTCGTGGGTTTGAATCCAATCAGGGGCCCGATGTTTTGTCTTTGGGAAAGGCACTTTGCACAATTTTCCTAACTTCACCCAGGTGGAAATGGGTACCCGGCTATAGACAGTGAACGGTCTTGTCAGTTTGATAGTGTTTGAGAGCATAAAATCTGCAGCTTGCACTGTATGCTTCCCAGGTAGCAGAGAATGTTTCTGGGTGTTCTCAGAGAGTCTGCTGGGGTAATAATAGTTCCAAAGCACATAGAGCATGCCTTAAGGCATGGATGTATGTTATGCAATTATTATTAAAAAGGGTCACAATATTTCAAATTGTCTTCAGTAAATGAAATGTCCCCCAACACTGCATCCAAATTTCCCTACATGGAATAACCAAATATAAGTTGCCTCTCCTTTTTGTTTCATGAATAGTTAAACATTATCACAGTCACCAAGTGTACAATTAAAGCTTCGTACAAATTATATAGTTCAAAAGCATAGTCATTCCAAATCAACAAAAACAATGAACAGCATAGCATGTATAATAACACTTTATATCATTTTCTACTCATGTTACTGCTTATGAACTTACAGTAAGTTTATTTTATGTTCATTAATTTCAAAGAGAACAAATTATTGATGAAGCAAAGGTAATTTGTATTTGATAAAGTGAATGTAAGCTTACCAAAAAGAATCCATCAAGAAATTTTTCCTCATCATCACCATCTTCATCTTGATCACCCTCATCCTCAAACTTTTGGGCATCAAGTTTTGTGCCTGTCAGCTCTGATTTCTTTCTTTCTTCTTTGATCCTTGCGTATGTCCGAGGTTTTGTGCAGAGGACAGCTTTAAACCTACGGCGCTGCTCAGCATGATGAGCTATTAACCAGGCTCCACTGGCTGAAAAAAAAAAAAAAAAAAGATACATATGAAATTCCGAACACCTGGAACAATTCTGGCTTGTTCACGTTCGTCTGACCAAAGTTAAAACAAAATAAAAATGAAATCGTTTTGTTCAATCTTCTCAGATCTTTGCATCAAGTCTAAAAGTTGGATAACCAACAGAATCTAAATGCCCATTCTTAAAGGTCACTGCAGACTAAGGTTCCGACACGTTTTCTTCGATGTAAGCCTAAATCGAGTAAAAAAAGTAATAGTGGATTTACGGCATACACCTACAACCTTAAAAAGTTGACGTATTTCCTCAACTCCACACTTTAACGTATGCCTAAGAAAAAGCAATTCAAAAGTCTGGGTGAGTAATTTTCGAGATTCACATGGAGCATGTGGAAACATCTAGACAGCTGGGGGATGAAATCTACAAGTTTACACTGAAGTATGGGGGCAGGGTGGTGTCGTTGTCTCAAAATAAACAATATTTGTAGGCAAGGTTACTGTAAGTCATTTATTTTACTGATCCTGTGTACGCATCCAAAGAGCGGTTTTTAATATCGGGCCCAAAGAGAAAAACTCTTTTAACACTGGATCATGATTTTTTTAAAATAAATTTTTGTTTGGTTACTGGCAGCCTGCAGAGAGAAGAACCATGCAAAGTTTTATGGGGGTAGGTAAATTCCTGAAGGAGCTAGAATTTTTTAAACATGATCAGACAATAGTGAACAAGCTATGTAGATTATTGTAAAGAATGTGTATCTTAATCTGTCAAAGTCTCTAGGGCGCAGTACAAGGCAAGTCAAGAAATGCTGTCTTACATTCTACTGAGATGTCCGCTGTGCCTCCTAAGATGTAGGCTGCTGTCTAAAGGTAAAGCAGTGCAACTGCCCATTTTATGATATTTGGAAAAAAATTGAAAAAAAATTTTTGACGCTTTATATCCTGTCTAAAGTTATGAATGCCTCTAAACATGGTTGCGCAGAAATAGAGAAATTATAGCCTTTTTGTACCCTGACAAGTTGTATTAGAAAATACACATTCTTTGTAATTCACACACTTGTGCAGCTGCAGTTGCAGATGTATGTCAATATCACAAAATTTTATCTTAATGGTACGATAATACTGAGATATATTGGTACAGCACTGTAAAATGTGTAGAAAGTAGAAAAGTTTATTTGTGTAGGCCGAGTTATTTAAGCTTTCTATGTTTGATTATCATAAAAAGAACCAATAAAATCATCATATATTATTATCATTTATATATTGTTGTTGTTATGCCTTGCCTTATTGCCGCCTTCTTAGTAATCTTAGCCTACGACGAGAATTTTAAGGACTTGCAGTACTTGCACTTGCGTAACGAGTGACCACCCCAACAAACACAATAAAGAAGAGATTTAACCCTAACCCAAACTCTAACCCAAACCCTAACTCTACCCCTAAACCTACCCCTACCCCTCTATTCTACTCTGTCTCAGATCTAGTGGTCGCTCGCTACGGAAGTCCTACCCTGCCCCTACGATGTCATTGTGCTATGAGGGCTGTGACTGTCTGAAGAAGTATAAAAAGTATCAAGCCTAGATAAAGATTTATTTGAAACTTAAAAGTGTCTTCCTCACCATCATCACTTGTTTTTCCAAAACCTGGTCGAACAGGAAAACAATTCGAGGCAAAACCACCTCGACCGTCATCTAACTTTACGCCAGCCAGCGCCATTTTGACGCATTGCTAGGGCAACACCAGAGTTAACTAAAAACTCGAACGAATATATGAACAGAAGGATTAAAAAGTTTCACGAAGCTGCAACAGAACAAATAAATACCAAGCTGCTTCTCAAGGCATCTACTTCTTCGTAGTAAAACAATAAGGATCGGTGTATCTTATATCCAAATCTCTTTAATTTATACCATGAAATAATACTGCATAAAATATAAATAAGCTATCTGAAAGGACTCAAGATAGGTAGCCAAATTTTATGACAAGCGAGAAGACTGGAAGCTGCCGAATTGTGGTTCACAATATTGATGTACATGTAGAATAATGTGCTCAGAATCTTATGGACAGAAAGGAAACCAATAAATGAGAAACACTCCAAAGGGCAGATTGCGAACGATTTATAATTATAATCAAAACCATCAGAAAGAGATAATAGTTGATTGGCCACATAAAAATGACAAACTAATGAACTAGAAAAACTGCTGGAGTACAGATGAGCAGAGGATGACAGAAAACAAAATAGGCTATAGATCTATAGACGGCTATACAGATAGCCTGAACAACTAGGCAACAAATAATACAATGAGAAAAAAAAATGATCAGGAAGACAGACAACAGAAAGAAGTGGGATGAATGTACCAAGATTGCCAATTGCTGCTCCAGACCTTAGGCCCTGCTCTCGTGGTCTAGAGGTTACGGTTTTGGCCTCTCATTCAAAGATCCCGGGTTCGAATCCGGGTAGCGACAGAATTTTTTTTCTCTAAAATTGTTTCCTTTCATCTCCTCTCCTGCTCTCTGGTAATGTTCTGTCGTCTGCTTTCGTCTCCTCTTTCTGCC